ACCTATAAGGTTCCGGTTAAGGTTTGTAAAATCTTGGAACCGGAACCGGCGATTCCGGTTCCAAACCGGAAAAAAATAAATATTATAGTGTTTTTTTAATTTTTTTTTAATAATTACGGTTAGAACAGGCGGTTCCAACCGAAACCGCCAGTTCTGAACCGGAACCGGAACCTTACTATAAGGTTCCGGTTCCAGTTTCGCCATCCACGGAACCGGAACCGGAACCGTGGTCACCCCTACTTTCAGGGTGACCCTATTTATATGTGTATTATTTTCCTTCCCTCTTTTAAGGCATATTGCCTTTACCATTTTGTTGTCTCACGTACAAATGCATGCCAAATACACCTATTTATAGGTATCTAAAGTGTTAGTTAAGATGTCAACCAACATGGATAAGTTACAAATTCGAATTTGAATTTCAATTAAGGATAAGTTTTATCCTTAATGTTCAATCGACATGGAGTTATCCATGTGTCCAAAATGTGTGAAATTGTACATACTACAAGTTGTCAAATTTGGACAAATTAATTGCTTAAAATCTGTCTAATTCTGGACCTGCAGACTTAAAGGTGTGTTTGGTTCGAATATTGGAATCAAATATTTGGTAATTAAAATAGGTTTTGATTAAAGTATTTTATATGTTTGGTAGTAGATTGTAATTGGAATGATTATCATGTTGTTTAGTTATGTATGTCCCTATAATTAAAATAAATGTTTTAAAATAGGAATAACAAAAAATCAAGACAATTAATCATAATATAATAACATACAAAGCACAAATATGAACAAAAAATCAAAACAAAATCTAAAAGCATTACTCTTGAGTAGTGGCCAGTGGAGAGGCGACGAAATGAGGAGGTGATGAAATGAGTAGAGAAAATCAGATAAGGCTCAATTAATGGAATGATATTTGATTTAAATTAGATAAAGAGTTTTTTATGAATAAAAAAAATTATAAAGATAATCAAATCATATACCTTATTTAAATTAGATAATGATACCTCATTTCTTGTGTCACCCCCATGAACTAAATACACCCTTAATGTCTAATTAAGTTCATGTCCAAATTAGACTAATCACGGACAAAATATTTGATTAATTAAAGACTAATCACTTATATATATATATATATATATATATATATATATATATATATATATATATTAATAATAATAAAAAATAAAAAATAAAAAACCAAATGCTATAAATTTAGTATTTCTTTAATTTACTCTAACATTCCGTCTGTAAATCATTTATCAATTTATTCAACGAAATCAACTTACTTGTCATTTCGTGAGTCCAAATCGTGATAAAACTAATTACCAAGTCATGGATTAATAGATGAAAGTGAAAATATGTCTTTAACTTAGAAGACTATAGATACATTAAAAGAACAGACTAAGTCTTGAAATATATATATATATATATATATATATATATATATATATATATATATATAGTGAAAGGTTCCCGTGCGGTTGAATGCTTCCCGTGCGATTGTGCGGGTGATTAATGTGCGTAAGATTTGTACTCAATGTGCGTGAGTGTTGTGTCTAATGTGCCTAAGATTTGTATTTAATGTGTGTGAATGTGTAAAATGCAGCAGAAAATATAAATGTCAGTTTCTCCTTTCCCAATGGGGTCGATCACCCTTCGCCGAAGTTCCCGCGTGATTTACGGAGAATCGAATTGCAGGTTTTTCGTGAAAAAATGGCGCTTAATCTTGGAAGTTGCTGAGGACACTCAATATGCAAGAACGAACTCAACACAGCAGCATAACATACATAAGTAAGCTAAGACAGCACTGCAAAGGTTTCCAAGAGAAGAGAGAAACAAAAGAGTTTTTGAAAGAAGAAGTAACAAGAAGCTTGAGCTTTAATGTGCGTGAATTTTCTGTTCTGCTTCTTTCTGAGCTCGTAATTCTGAATTACTCACGCACATTAAGCACAAACCTCACGCATATTAAGCACAATACTCAGGAACATAAAGTACAAAACTCACGCATATTAACATGACGCACATTAAGTACAAATCTCAGGCACATTGAGTACAAATTTCACGCACATTAAGTATAAACCTCACGCACATTAATCCACCGCACATCCGCACGGGAAGCAACAAATGCACCTGATCCCTTCCCTATATATATATATATATATATATATATATAGTTAATACCATCTGAGGTCCTCTGAGTATAATGGTTTTACCACGTTTAGTCCTAAATTTTCAAATTGATCATCTATGGTCCTTCAACTTTCAAATTTAACCATTCGTGGTCCAAGTTAACCACCCATGGTCCTTGAACTATTTAATTTTAACCAACCATGGTCCTTTCAAGAGGACCACAAGTGGTTAAATTTTGAAACTTGAAGGACCATGAGTGGTTAACTTGGACCACGAATGTTTAAATTTGAAAGTCGAAGGACCACAGATGGTCAATTTGAAACTTTAGGACTAAACGTAGCAAAACCACTATACTCGGAGTACTTCAAATGGTATTAACTCTATATATATATAACAGTTGAGCACATTATACTAGTCGCTTATAGTACAGTTCAAAACAACATATACGAGCTAGCTAGCAACGAAAACGAAAAGTGAGGTTATACTACGTAGCACCAGATAACTGTCCTGGAAAAATCTGTATGAATGATATATTCATATAATCTTCTATTAAGAATTTAAGATGCAAGTGTAAAAAGGGTACGGTCCAATAAATTAAAGTGTGATCTATTGTTTTACGGGTTAATACTCAATTTAGTCATCAACTATAGTGATTTTTTTTCAATTTAGTCATAAATAATTTTTTGTACTTAATTAGGTCCTCGATTTCGATAGATTTATCCAATTAAGTCCCCGACTATTAGAATCAATGATTAAATCGAAAAAAAAATTATTTTATTTTTTTCCTTAACGCGTTCGTTGCAACGCGCAACAACAATCTTTCTATTTTATTTTTTCCTCCCATGTTGATCCCATAAAAATCTATGGAACATGTTATTTAATTTACTCGTCCTAAATTTCTCATAATATTTTTCTCACATGATGTGACTTATATTTATTAGATGTCATAAATTAGCTCGGCATATACATTTTTTAATTAAATACTAAATAATTTAGGAGGAGAAACTGGGAGGGAAGTTTCAATAATTCAATGGGATGATGCCTAACAGGCTAGCATTACTCAAAATATATTTACCTACAAATTCTTTTTCTTGTCTCTCCAATCTTCTCTCCCATCCACCTAAAGAAAAAACTCGGAAAAAAAAAAAATCTCTTGGGGGATGCTCTTAAAAAATTGTACTTTAAACATATATTACAACCTAACAAAAGTACAATTTTGTAATGCATGTTAAAAATATCATGCATAATACCATTTTAATTCAGTAAGTAAATTGATAAAGCAAAAACTTATCCACCCATTTTAGTTCAGTAAGCAAATTGATAATTGTGTTTACCCCATTTAATTGGAGTTGGCTAATTAACCGCCCCAAATACAATTTTGTAATGCATGTTAAAAATAACATGTACGCCATTTTAGTCCAGTAAGCAAATTGATAATTGTGTTTACCCCATTTGCTTTTAACCTCATTTACTTAAAAAAAAAAAAAAAAAAAAAAAAAAAAAAGTAGTGACGGAATTTTCCGCCGTTGGAAATGAAAAATCCGTCGCTAAAGCAATTAGCGACGGAATCGGCCCGTCGTTAAAATTTTGTGATGTAATTTTTTTCCGGGGTTGCTAATTTCCTTTTCGCGACAATTTGAACGACGAAATTTGTAATGGAATAACCGCGGAAAATTCCATCGCTAAATTTAGCGACAGATATTCCGTCGCTATTTTGTTTATGTAGGTGCCATTTAACTACAACTTAGAGATTGAAATAACTATCGCTACATTTAGCAACGGAAATTTCCTTCGTTATCATTCTTTATTGTTAGAAGGTATTTAGCTACGAATTTACTACGATTTTTGTCAGTCGCTAAATGTTTATTATTTTTAAAAAATCTACCAATTAATTAATATCACATACATGTATTAAACCTATAATATAATTACAAAATATATTATATTAAAAATTCAATGTCAATAATTCAATAATAATAATAATAATAACAAAAGTATAGCATTGTAAAGTGTTACATTTCTTTGGGGAGTTCATATTCTTCAAGGGCATTAGGGTTAAGACAAAAGCATTATCTAGACAACATTAAAGTGATGATTGAACATTCATCACTGAAAACTACTAGTGATTTTAGAGTTCATCTCAAAAGCATTGTAGTGATTTTAGAGTTCGCTAACCTATCTAAAATTAAAAGATTTTTTTTTTTCTTTTGTAATTATTAACGACGTTGATTTGTTACAAAAAAGTGACGTTAAAACATTTTTTAATTATAATTTTATTTAATATTTTAATGACGATTTTATGAAAATAAACGTGATAAATTAACATTATATACTATTTTTGTAGTAGTGCATTCCGAGCATACATAAATTATATTGTGAAAGAGTTAACCTCAACAGCCCCTTAGGATGGAAGAAAACCCCAACCACACCGGGATTGTGGAGGAATTAAACTCAGCCACCCTTTTGGTAAGAAGAAATTTTTGATCATTTTGTACATATTAAAATTTAAAATGATTTTTAATTAGCAGTTTAACTATTCAATAATTTTGTTACTATTTCAATTTAAACCAATCGTATCAGACCATGTAGGGTGTCAGTTGATTAATTGTCATATACAAAAATGCATCCCCATTTGAGGTTAATGAATTTTTAATAATCCAAATTAATACATTATATACTTTTTTGGATGACGTGCGAAAGAGGTGCACATAGGTTTTGGTGTTTCCCATCGAGGTATCGACTTAGAGAAATTTCAAATCATATCAGACAATAATATAACATATTTTTTCAACCAACCACATATCACCGCTTCATTTATTATTATTTTTGGAGTTATAATAAGATAGGAAAATACTCTTCAAACTAAACTCATTTTAGGCAACAAGTTTGTTAATGACGCGCAGAATCGCTTCTGCACCCAGCGGCTTCACCAGGCACTCATCCAGTCCCGCGGCCAGAAACTCGTCCCTCACCGGACCTGGCCCGTGCGAAGTCGCGCCAACAATCATGCTCTTCACACCCAGTTCTCGCAGCTCCTTTGTTGCCTAATTCAATCATTTATAGTTTCCTTTTTAGTGTTGGGAATAATAGATATATAAGATCGAGTAAGAGGGGAATTGAAAGGGGAGAAGAATGGGCTCACGTTGACGCCATCCTTGATGGGCATTTCCTTGTCCATGAGCAGGAGGTCAAAGCGGGCGCCGGAGCGGTGGAGCACCACCGCCTCCTCGCCGTTATTGACCACCTGAACTTCCACTCCGTACTTCTTCAGCAGCGCCTTGTGGACCAGCTGCAAAACGGGGCTGTCTTCAACCACAAGCGCCTTCAGCCCCTTCCCAACATTCTTCGAATCCATGTCAATTTCCAGCAACCGAAACTAAACACATAAATTCATTCCAGAAAAAGAAGAAAACATTAATAACACCCCAATCTTGCGCAATGATCCTTGCATGCAAGGCTGCAATAATAACAAATAAGGAAAGAGAGGGGCAACCGGCCAAATTGGTCAGGCGGTTAGTTTGGTAATCTTTAGGTTACAAGTTCCACTCTCAATCGGAGCCGTCTTATTGGTTTGAGCTGGTATGGACAACTTAAACTCGTTTATCTCATTGTGTCATTTACCGGCTATGGTCACAAAGTGAAATTTACCCCATTAACCTTTTTGCGGTTTGAGCCGGTGACCAACTATGGTCAAAGGCGAGATTTTTTTCAACACAACTGAAATTGTCTATTGACATTTTTGGTTTGAGCCTTGTGGCCGACTAGGTTCACAAGGTAAGATTTACCGGCTACGGATTTTCAGATAATAACTACAAATTTTTTCCGTCATCCGAAAAAAAAAAAACAAAAGAAAGAGTAAAGAGAGAAATGGTACCACACTTGATGACAACAGAAGGAAATGAAGTGCAAGAGAGAATTGATGACTAAAACAAGAAGCAGCGAGGGGGTTTAAATAGGTTGGAGAAATGGACCACACAGTGTATAACAATGCCAGTAAAAATCAGTATAAAATCTACAATGAAGATATCCAGGTGTAAAAAAGGTCCAAGAAATTTAATGTCAAATCTGGTGTTTCACCGGGGTTGATAAATGAAAAGCATGCATTCAAGGCAAAACCAAATCCTTATTTGATATCATACGATTCCCTAGATTTGACTATTTTTGTGTTTCGGAATGTACATTTTAGTTTGTGATCTTATGACATAAATTGATTGCAGTATTTACCAAGGTTGCAAAAATCGCGCCTAGGCGCCCGGCCGCCACCGCGAAGAAGGCCGGAATCGGCCTCCTCCGCGGCCGGCCGGCTAGGCGGTCTAGGCGACTGAACCGGCGCTTTAACTTTTTTTTTTTTTTTTTTTTTTTTTTTTTTTTTTTTTTTACGAAAAGTTCGGGGAGGCATAATTTTTGACTCGGTTGTCCGTTTTGGACAATTTTTTTTTCAAAGGCGGTTTGGTCCACTAATTTCTCAAAAAAATGCTTCTTTTGCCCTTAATTTTAGTTTTTTATGTATTTAGATGGTTTAAACAATCTTTTGAACACTTTTACAACCACTTACGTAAATAATTTGTAAGAAATAACTATGGAAACCTTAGTGTTATTACTAAATTTTAATTTTTAATTTATTTTTAACTAAAAAAATAAAAATAAAAATAAAAAATAAAATAAAAAATAAAATAAAAAATGGCGCCTAGGTGCCCCCTTGGCGCCTAACGTGTTTTGCAACATTGGTATTTATTGAAAGATTTAATCGATCTTGAATTCCTTTTTATTATAAGAATAATGTAATTTTGTTACCATGCATTTACTAATTCAATCTGCCAATATGGTAACCACCTCTATTGTCATAGTAGATTTTAACATTTAGTGCCATACCAGCGTTCTTGATTTTATTAATTTCAAAAGTATAAAGAAATTAGCTGGCTAACATTCTAGAATATGGGTGTATCATAAACAAAATCATATATTACTAAAGTTTAAATTTAAAGTTAAATACTTTCTTAAAATGTCTATATTTATTATATTTTTTAATATTAAATTTAAAGATATCATTGGATTGACAATATCACGGTACAAGATTTAACAGGCTGGCTTATGAAATAGGTTGGGAATGGAAAACATTATTGAGAATGGTGGTAATCTATCACATGCATAACCGTTTTGGAACGTAGTCTAATGGAGATTGGACAAGTAGCTAGATAGTATCCAAGTAGCTCACCAAAACTATATCATAGTTTCTTACATAAAATATGTTAAAATCTCTTGCACCTCAAAGATAACTAAGGATATGTTCAACATTTTTCTAATGTTTCATTGTAAAATAAACACTAAATATAATGTTGCTAGCAAGTTCATCAGAGATATAATATCAGGCTTAGCTTGATATGATTATGAAACTTCTGGTCCTATAGTAGTGCTCATAGTAAATGATATTTATTCATATAAAACATCTCTAAGACATTTTTAAGATAAGCTAATTGGTGCATAAAATTCCTTCAAAGAGACAGCTACACTAGTACAAAGGTGCACATCAGCTACACTTGTACAAGTGTTTCCACTACACTTGTAGCGGTGTAGCATATATATGAGGGTTACTGAAAAAGTGTAAGCTTTCCTCGACACCCTTAGATGTACGCTATAGTGGTAATATAGGAATATAGATTGCACATTGTTAACAGAAAACATGTAACATGTAGAAACACTAATATTCTAATGACGGCCGGGCACATTATCAAGTATGAAAGGTTTAGAACTTATAGGTGTACAAGAGATGTGCAACTTTGAACATAATTCTCACGTTGCCGCCATCGAGATTTAAACATTCATTTCTTCTCCCAAATATTACCTACTGAACCAGTCAGCTAAGCCAGTGCGGGCATCTTACTCCAAAATATATTATAGCCATACCTGGTTTGCATATCCTGCAAGATACAACATTAGTTATATGTAGATATATCAAATACAATTTAATATTATGCATATGTATATATAACATGCAAGGCATTGAAACAACATAATGTCTTAAAAAATACTTAGCTCTGATCTCATTTATAGTCCGGAGTTAATGTGGATGTGAATAAGAGTTATTCTCCAAGAATCCAAGATTGACCTCATAACAGCAAGACCTAGAATATTAACCATGCATGAAAAACCCATTCGTGTACAAACTCCAATAGATCAACTAATGCAGCACCCATAAGTTTGTGAGAATAATCGAAAATCCAGGTTGAATCCCAACCCTAAGGGCCCTACATCCCGATCCGTTCGTAGTTGGATTTGTGGACGAGGATGCTGGGCCGGTGGAGGGGTCGACGACCACCGTACCATTCGTTTTCGGATCGCAAAGCCTCCAAATCTTCGAGCGCTACCGCCGTTCACCGGGATGGAGGCTGCAGGACGTTGGCTAGGTTACTAGGAGATCGAGCGCTACCGCCGTTCGTGGAGGAAAACGCTAGCGCCGCTCGTTGAGGAATAGGAAGCCGTCGCCACAACCACGATTTGAAGCGCCCGCCGCTGCTTGATGTAATAAACGCCACAGCCGCCGACTTCGACGATCTGAGACTTGCAGTACGTCACCATCACTCTGACTTCGTCGCCGGGCTCCAGAACCGGATCGGAGTCGCAGAAACCCCAGCCCGACCAATTCTCGCTATCCTATCGGTCATACGTTAAGACGGTCCTCTAGTCGTATATATAGTTTTCATCCATGAATATAAGAATAGAGAGATAGACAAGAGATACGGATCCGAGGAAAATCATCAATTATTTATTATTCATAATATGATAGATACGGAGTATATATTATGGGTGAGTACGGATTCGACAAATCTGCTCTGCTAAATTCTTAAAATCCGTTCGCATATGTTTGTATCTGACAAAAATACCCTTTGAGAACTTTCTTGGTGCTATTGTGCTGAAAATGTGTTAATATATGACTTTTTGGAGTCGCTTGACACTTTGTGATCAAGCGGCATGAGGTGACTTTCTCAAGTGGAGGTCATGGGTTTGAGTTGAATAGATACATATTACATGTAATAGGGTCAATAGTACTCAAGAAAAATGACTTTTTCGAGACAATTTTGGTATCATATGCTTGGATTTGACAAAAATATCCTTTTAACGCTCCATTTTTTGTCAAAAATAAAAGTCAAAGGTATGTGTTTTGGTCAAGTTGAAAGTCTAGGACTATTAACTATTGACTTAATTTTTTTTTTTTGGATACAAAGAGAGGGACGAAGTCCAGTGAGAAACACTCACTAGTACAAAATGGAGCAAAGAAATTTGACTTTAAGCTACCATTCTTTAAATAAGGGTAGTGTATTGTTAAAAAAAATAGGACGGTGGCATAATTGTAATTAAATCAATAAGAAACCGCTACCCTTTCTAAAAGAAGGGTAGCGATTTTCCAAAAAAAAAAAAACGGAACGAGTTTCCACTGCCTTTTCTCATAACAAGGGCAGCGGATAATTATATTAATTTTTAATTAATATAAATATCCGCTCACGATATTAAAATAAAAAAATAAATAAAAAACCCCTCAAAACAGACAACCCTCAAGGGTTCTCCTCAGCCGCTACGCTTCACCTCACCAGTCACACCCTCCCACTACACCGCGACTCCCTCCGCCCTCATCCGCCGTCGTCGTCGCCGACAGCAAGCTAAGGAAGCCCTCATCCGCTGTCTCCCACCGCCACAGTTCTCCTCAGCCGTTGTCGTCGCGACACTAGTACAAAATGGAGCAAAGAAATCTGACTTTAGGCTACCCTTCTTTAAACAAAGGTAGTGTATTCTTAAAAAAAAAATAGGGCGGTGGCATAATTGTAAATAAATGAATAAGAAACCGCTACCTTTTTTAAAAAAAGGGAAGCGGTTTATTAAAGCGGATAGACTTTCCGCTACCCTTTCTTTTAGAAAGGACACGGAAACCAGATCGGGAAAAAATAAAAGAAAAAGAAAAAGCAAAAAAGAAAAAAAAAACAACAAAACAAAAACCCTCAACGCCTCTTCAGTTTTCACAAACCAGATCTCGCTCTCACACCTCTCCAACACTCTCTGCCGTCGCTCCTCACTGACCGCACCTCCGCCGTCGACACCGCCTCTCTCACCACGCTCCCTCAGCCCCGATCAAATGCCACCGCCGACACCAAGCTAAGGACTCAAGCGCCACTCTCATCAACCACCCATGACGCTTCTCTTCTTCTCGTTAGCTACCGGTGACCAGACCCAGCCGAAAACGACGCCTCCACGTACTGTCGACGATGCCTGCCACTGACGTCGCCACCACCACCACTGTGGTTCTCAGCCGCCGCCGGTTTCGCCGAAGGCACTACTTATGAGGTTCTCTTTCTGCTTTCTTCGTCCTTTTCTTTCTCAATTCATTTGGGGTGCCAATGTTATTGAAATGAATTTATGTGTTTTGCTTGATCTGCCTCTTCGCGTTTAGCTTGGATTTAGTTGGATCCGGAGCTTCGTGGACTAAATTAGCTCTGTTTAGACAGAGATTGTTGATATCTGTTTTCTTTTTTAGCAGATAATAGCTGTTTCGAGCTAGGTTTCAACCTGGGAATTGAAGTGTAATTTCTCATTTCTAGATGATTCTTCTTTTGGGGTTTTCGAGTATTTACTTAAGGAACCCTTAACTGCAGATACAATAAGCATGAGATTGGGGTGGGGGCTGAAAATAATTAACCAGGACCTCTAATTTAGTTAAATAATGGTTTAGTTTTCTAAGAGTTTTTTCCACTTTTGGTTACTTGACTATGATACCCCCAATTTTGGTGCATGACTATTCAATTGCTCTCACATTTTGTCATCAGCTCAATTTTCCGGAGGCTTAGGTTGCCCGAGAAATTGAGCTAAGGATGAAGAAATTGAATATTCATGCACAAACATTAAAAATCTTGATAGTCGGGGACTTAATTTTGGAAGGGGTATTATAGTAGAGGAACCAAAAGTGAAAAAAACTTGTTTCGTAATAAACATCTTTGGTAGTTCTAGTATTCTGTAGTAATTGTATTAGCAGATGCCAGTATGTCACTTTACTGTTTCTTGAAAAGATGTATCTCTAAAATGCAAGTTCCATGATCAGTTCTTGCTCTCATGTCTTTGTGGTTTCTCAATCTTCTCCCAAGTTTAACAATTAGTTTGTTTTGATGTTTTTATGATTGTTCTAGTTGCTGATGACTAGTGCTATCATATGTGACTAGAGGAGAATCAGAGACTGGCGGTGGAATGCTCGTTGTTGCAGTGCAAGAGATGGGAGAGAGAGTGCTCGTTGTACGACAGGGACCGAGAGGCATTGATGGTTCTACAAGTACGATGCCCTGTAGCTGGTCTGGTCTTGTAAATGTAGTATTGTCACAGGAGGACATATATCAGAAGTACCTGGATGATACCAAGGCAAGAAAAACACATTTTGCTTCTGCTGATTCTGTAACTAATGGTTCTTCTTGTTGTTAGTAATCATTGGATAGGTCAAACAATATAATGTAGAAATACTCCCTGCCTATGAGCTCGTAGTATCATCACTCACTTGCTTTATGTACGACAGTTTCCCGTCCTCGCCAGTGCCAGGTACAATCTCGTCATCTTAGGAGACGAGTCTGTCGGCAAAAGCAGTATCATCACTCACTTTATGAACAACAAGTTCCGTAACAAATACGAGGTAAATGCGGCTGTGATTAGTTTAAACTAATTTTGTAAATTTCTTCAGAGTAATAGAAGGACAATAATGGATGATCCTTTTATACGAAATTACATTGAAGATCTTTTGAGGAATGTGAGGACTCAAGTATTGCTCAAACTGATCAAGCCTTACACAAGAATTCGGATCCCTTTCATATCCAAGGTGATTAGATAGAGATCAGTGTCCTCCTGTACAGTGAAGGAGCTGCAAGGACATTCCATATTTGTTTTCCTATTTATCTATTCATTATTACAGAGTATTATTTTAAATACCGCCATTCTTCTGATTTTTATTGGTTTTTGACTTTTTTTTTTCCACACTATATTTCACATTTGTAATGTTTTGCATGCAGGTCAAAGGGGATGAAGAAATACACTGCCGTGGATAAGTGGAACACACAGCTTAGGTCCCTCTATCAGACTGTTAGTAACCAAGTTTGTTAATTTTTGAGATTTTTTGAGAGTATATTCTATCTGAAAAGTCACTCCTAGTCCTGGAAAACAATAGATTACAAGCATTACATTTACTTTTGCACCAAAGATGTTCATGGGTAGTGGAGAAGTGTCCATTTACAGAGATGTTGGCTCAAATCTAGTTTAAATGTTTTTGACAAATTTGCTTACTAAACAAACTTAAAAAGTTAAAAGGTACTTCATCATTAGCTGTGCAAATTATTAGCTGTGTAAAACTACCCCCAATAATTGGAAGAAAATAGTATAGATTCTTATTATGATCTTGATTTTCGCCACTTGATAAACTTGATGAATTGATAAAACCCTACAAGTCAAAGCTGTCCTGAGTTATTTCTGATGCACATGTATGTGTTCATAATTTAATCAGGATCGTTTGTGGTGCGTATTAAGGTTTGACGAGCTCTTGCACGAATTAAGGGTTGGCTCTCCACTTGTGTGCCTGATCTGGTCAGCCATCACATATGAACTATCTTCTTCCTCTTATATTCTCTTCTCTGTTCCCCTTTGTTTTGGGTTTCAAGTTACAGAGAAGTTATATTTAGCCCGAGGAGACTTGAGGCTGCTTTTCATATTAAAGAAGTCTTTAACAGTTGCACTATTTATATTTGACTGTTTAGTTTTCTGCATTGTTTACGCCTTATGGGTTCATCTAGTCATTTCGATATGTTTTCTCATCTGATGAGCATGTTGTAATGGATTATTTGATTAACTAGATAACGTGACTAATTGAAGTTGTGGAAACTTGGTATTCAGGTTCCGTCTCATGTATTAATGGGTATACCAGTGAATGGTGAATCTATGTCTTTATCTCCTCTTGGTGAAGCTTGCTTGAGATCGGACTTGACTGCCATACATGAAATCTTAGAAAAACTTGGGTACAAAGATGACGAAGGAGCAGCTGCCGAGGTTTGTCTCATTACAATTATTAAATTTATTTTCATATCATGCCCTGTTTGGATATATGCTCTTCTGTCAGCTGGAGTCTATTCCTAGCTTAATTATAGTGAATAATGGTGGCATGAACTAAACGCAACCCATCAATGAAGTGCTGTTAGGATATCACTATAACTATGAAATTAGTGGAGGGAAGAAAACATGAGTAGTAAGTTCCAATTATCCCTGTAATGATATGTGGAGTTTACAGGGAGTGCTCTGAGAGGTTTAGTAAAAGCTTTTTTGGGTACACTTCTTCAGGAAAGCATTTTGTGGGTGTTATTAAGTTGTCTCACCTGTACACTGTTGTTGAGTGTAATTTCAGAAGCAGTAACTGTTTTTGGCTTTGTGCATTTTCGTCTGGACAGAACTTTTTTATGATATAGAAAATTTAAATAAAACTATGTATATTTAAAGTATGTTGATAATATTGTGTTTTGATAGTTTGTTGATGGTTAATATTATGTTTGATATGTTTTGTATGAATTCGTATAGGATTTTAAAAGAATTGGGAAATTTAAATATAATAATGATTTTTTTTTAATTCTAAAAAACAATCCGCTACCCTTCTTAAAAAGAAGGGTAGCGGATTGTTTTAATAAATTAATGGTATTCGCTACCCTTCTGTGTAAAGAAGGGTAGCGGATTCTTAACTTTCCGCTACCCTTATTCAAGGGTAGCGGAAAGCTCAGGGTTTTCAGAGACCCTAATATCCGCTACCCTTGTACAAGGGTAGCAGATAGCCTTTTACAAGGGTAGCGGATGTGCAAATCTGTACTAGTGCGAGTTCCACCGGTCTCATCGATTCCTCTCAGCTGCCGCTTTGATTCACCGCCGCCACGCTCTCATCCGCCGTCTCCACCGCCACAGTTCTCCGCCGCTTCGATTCACCGCCGCCGCTGCTTCGATTCACCGCCGCCAACTGCTCCGATCCGCCGAACTGAAGCTGAAGACAGGTAATTTTATTTATTTTGGTTAAAATTATTTTTTTTAATTTTTATTATTGTAATAGATATTATATTTGTTAATTTTTATAATTTTATTTCGAATTTGTTGTTATTTGTGTTATTATTATACCCTAATATGTGTAAAAAATATGAATGTAGTTGTTATTTTTGTTGGGATTATATTATATAGTAATGTGTATATATATATGGTGTTCATAAATATTATGTAGACATTTTTTATTAGTAATTATTTGAAAGATTATAAAGTGGAATTTTGTTGACATGTGTTTATAACAGCTATGAAGGCTGATTATCTATTTTTAATTTAGACTTTAAATAAATATCAGCATAAAGCTATGAAGGCAGATCTGTACTAGTGTGTATAGTATCTGTTGGGCAATGTGGGAAGTTTAGGACATTTTCCCTGCTTAAAAAGTTTATACTCTCTTGGATTGTTTTGATTGAAGCTATAAGCTCTGTTGTCATCCTCAAATTTCCCAATGCCATAGATCAATACACTATGAGTTCATTGCACAACTACAACTACATGAGATGTCAATTGAAAAAATATATAGGTAGGATTCTAAGGAATATTGAACTTCAAATTATGAAGATGCTTCCTGTAACTCCAAAATGATCAACCTGTGAGAGTTGAATGCGGTGTTGCTTCACACCACATTTGCCAATATTTTGCATCTCATCCAACATTTAGTAAGGATTAGGAAAAGAGACACAGTATGCTGTGGAGAGCTAATAGAACTGTAGAAAGCTACATTGTTGATGGAGTATACACACATGCATGGATTGAAAGTCAAGCACTTTAGGATAAGATATCCCCCAAACATGACACATTTCATCCCTGCATGCAAAAGGTGTTATACTTGCTGGTCTAGCAATAAAATGTTCGTTTTTCCGTTTGGTATAATTGAAATTTATAATAACAAAATGTAGTTACTGTGGTGGATTATAAGATAAGCCATCCTACAGAATTTGATTTTTCCGTCCTGCACACTACCACATTCTTTGGGACGAGAACAACGTCACAGCAGATGAAATTCAATCTCTGACAAACAACCTTTGTTATATGTAAGGAATCTCCTCTTTTCTCTCAATCTAGTCGTTACGTTGAAACTCCTTTTTAACTATCTCGCTTTTCCATTATTAGTAACAACTTAACTGCAACAAATGCAGCACGATGCACTCGGTCTGTTTCTGTTGGTAATCTTCTAACTTTTTCTCTCATGCAAAGCTCTGATGCCCAGATAGAACTGTGTTTTTGCTTCTGCATTTTATTCATGCAAAGCTGCATTATAATATGGTATCTCACAAGCATCTGTGTTACTATGAATGCAGTGCCTCCTGCATATTATGCACATTTGGCTGCCTACAGAGCGCGGTTTTATGTCGATAACGACGGCCACGAGAACGGCTCGATGCGCTGCACCCGCACCTTGAATGGCTCCGGAGTGCGGCCCCTGCCGGCATTGAAGGAGAAGGTGAAAAATGTAATGTTCTATTGCTAGGCAAAGAGCAAAATAAGGCCATATAAGTTTGAACTGAGTAGGAAAAAAAGAGCTGGAAGTGTTTATATGGTAGGGACTAGAGAGTCCTAAATCCTAATGTATGACAAAGTTTGAGTCTCAACTCCTTAACCAAATTTAATTGTTGATGGCTACTGGAATATGTAGTCTGGAAAAATTACAAATTTCTACTTAGCATTTTGGTAGGTGATATTTAAATAACAAATTTCACATGTTTATTTATGAAGAAAGAACTAGGCCACCTGTGTGTGTTGGTGAACACATTGTTGTTGGTGAACCCATTGTTCCTCATGATCTAGTAATCATTCTTAATCAGTTCTACCTTGGGGAACTCATTCTTCCTCATGGACTAGTACTCATTAATTTAATCAGTTCTACCATTAATTTGCTTCAAAATTTGGGTTTCTGTCTGTAGAGGTCCAATCAGGATGCTCATTGTTTGGATGATCTTTTGACCAGAAACACTTTCTTTTTCCATATTTATGTATGTTCAACATTTTATTCTCACTTTCTACATCCTCTTGATTGCTGCTTTATTTTCTCAGCGATCTCGGAAGCCAAGGCTTGAAGGATTATATAAGTGATAAAATTGGTCTGCTATCTAATTTGGTAAGCCTGTAAGTATCACTTTTCACTTGTTATTACATATACTATTTATACTAATTCCTCAGTTTTGACAAACTTGAGGTGAAAGTTTTTATATTATTTTTGTTGCTATGTTGGCCTACATTGACTTAAATTTTTTGGCAAATAAACAATCCAACTCCACCCTCACCACATTCTGTTCTTGTGGCATGGATAATTGTGTATATAGTACTCCCGTGTATATTCCAGACCTAGGATTAAATCCATAACTATTCATTATAACTTTTAACTATGGAGAAGTTGAAAGTGAAAATCTAAAATTGAGTTACATTAAAAGACACAAGTACTTAGCCTATGTGTTTAGTCTTGAAGTGAAATTTTGGATGACTTGGACAGTGTGTAGAGGCAGTTGGAATTTATGAGGTTGTTTACTGGTACTTTTAGAGCATTGCAATATTTGTTACTATATAAACAGTTAACATATAAACTATTGTTTAATCTTGCTTTTGTTGAATCATTCTGTTTATTTATGTTCTGAATTATGATTGGTTCATTCTTGCTGTTCTAGGAGTTTTCTCTGGTATCAGCAATCAAGAAAGCAAAATGCTTGGAGAAGAGGTGAATTGAAGCTCCTTTAGTGGCAGTCATCATATTTTATAATTAATTTTACCTTTCTTTTCACTGTTGGTTAAAATTGTTTAGGCAATGTGATAACTTATATATTTGGATGGATTGTGATTTGTGAGAGTATTGTATGTGTTGAAAGTATTTGGATGGATTGTGAGAGTGTTGAAAGTGTATTAATGATAATATTGTGTTGATCAATGGTTAGTATTGTGTTTATAATATTGCGTTGATGGTTAGCATTGTGTTGATATGTAATTTGTATAATTTTGTACAGGATTTTCAAAAAAAATTGAGAATTTTAAAAATAATAAATTAATTTTAAAATAAAAATAAATAAAAATCCGCTACCCTTTCTAGGAAGAAAGGGTAGCGGATGCTTTAAAAAAGAAGAGGAATCTGCTACCTTCCTGTCTGAAGAAGGGTAGCAGATATTCTATTATCCGCTACCCTTGTACAAGGGACGCGGAAACCTCAAGCTTTCTGCGTCCCCCACATCTGCTACCCTTGTACAAGGGTAGCGGAAAGCCTTGTACAAGGGTAGCGGATGTGCAGATC